GACAAAGGCCCGGTCAGCTTTGGGTCTGCTGTTGCCAGCCCTGCCCTGCCTGGGAAATTGTGCTGAACTCTGGGCGCTGAGAGACAACACCACTAGGGGAATAGGGACCCCAGAACCAGCAGTCATACCAGCTAACTCTGGGGTTCTGCTCATAAACTGGCCATACTCTCTATACATTTATTTAGGGTGACAAATATTAAGGAGTCCCAGTGGTGTGCTGTATAATGTCAGGGTGCTAATCAAAAGGCTGATGGTTCAAATCCACCAGTCGATCCACAGGGAAAAAGACAAGCAGTCTCTGCCCCCCAAAGAGACATACAGCTTTGGAGATGAATTTGACTTGATCAAAGTGGATAGTAGTAGGTTAAGCGTTGGACCGTCAGCCGAAAGGCCAACAGTTTGAACTTATCAGCTGCTTTGTGGGAGAAATGTGGGCTGTCTCCTTCCATTATGACTTACAGCCTGGGCAGCAGGTGGAGGGGAAGGTCACCTGGAAGACAGTGAGTGGTGAGCCCTGCAAGGATCACCCTGAAAAATTCACTGTCATCCAGTTGGTTTTAGTGAAAAAGGTTTCTTTTAAGGCAGTAAGTAAGACAGGCAAAGCTAGCAGAAGGTGGGCCATGTAAGAGTTAAAATGCAAAAGAGGGAAGAGGGGAGGGGAAGGACCCCTGGAGAGACAAGGGGTGAGACCTCCTACAGCATTCTGTCAGTAGGAAAGAGAGCTTGAGAGCCCAAGGAGCCTTAAAGAACAGACCAGGTCCCCCCGGAGAAGGAAATCCCAGTATCCTTACATCTTCCAGTTCAAGAGTCATGTGGGAACCCTGTGCCCCAGTCTAGGGATGCTGACTTTGTGCGCGCTTGGGGTGGGGCCCAGGAATTTGGGTAATTGGGTGTCCTAGCTGTGGTTTACATTTTGGAGGGATAGGACAGGAATCTCTTGGAGAACAGGGTGCCCCACTGCTGGGGTGAGGTGGGATGGGGGTGGATAAAAGACCTTGGCTCAATTAAACCCAGAGGTAGACTGTCCAGAGTGGCTGGCAGCTCTACCTCTTATCTTGGGATTTGCAAAGATCCACATAGTCTCTGCTTTACTTTCCCAGGCATTTAGAGAAAATTGTGTGGCACCTCAAGACGCTGGGTTGGGCTAGGGGGAAGGGAGAGGCTTTAATTAGGATTTTGATTGCATTAAGTGAAGCCTGCCTAATAGTTACTGGAATACATGTGGAGAGACTTCTTTAAAGAAAACTTTACTTGTCCCCACCTTCATGTGACTGTTTGCATTTTACCCGCCGCTGCCAGCCTGCCCTTGTGCAGAGCACATATTTACAGGGCTGCAGCCCCAGAGCAATGAGTTACTCATTAATTCCCTCACACACCCCTACATTGATTTCCCCCTCCATCCCAATGCCTCTACGCCAAGAGCCAGATACTGCTTGTAACAGCCCAGACTCCAGGAGATAGTCACAGGCTTGAGCGGCTGACAGAACTCCAGCTCCAACAAACTTTGAGACCCAAGACAGCCTCAGTTTCTCTCCAGTCGACAATGTCAGAAGAACGGATGTAGGCAGGGGCAGGAACCTATGAGAGCTGAAATGCCCTCAGTAACAAATCGCGCTTTGGAGCAGGGTGGACAAACTTCCCCTGCACTGGGTCAGATGAAATACTTTCAGCTTTGGAGGATAGAAGGAAAATTGATGCCTTTGAGCTGTGGTACTGGAGAAGAGTATTGAGGGTACCATGGACTGCTAGGAAAACAAACAGATTCATCCTGGAAAGGGTTAAACCGGGCGATTCCTTGGAGGCAAGGATTCTGAGGCTCCTTTGGACATGCTGTAAGGAGGGACTGGTCCTTGGAGAGGCACATCATGCTTGGGAGGGTGGAGGGACAGTGCAGGAGGGTGGATTGATTCAGTGACTGGGGTAATCGGGATGGGCCTGTCGGAGACTGAGATTGGCACAGGACAGAGCAGAGTTTAGGGCTGTTGTACATAGGGTCGCTATGAGTCGCGACTGATGGCACATAACAATTCTGAGCCACATGGTCTCTGTTGCATATGTTGCAAAGACTCAGCTCTGCAGCATGAAAGCAGCTGTAGGCATGCGTGGCTAAGGGGCATAGCTGATTGTGTTATCATAAAACTTGATTTATAAAACAGGTCATGAGCTGAATTTGACCTGGGGCCATCGTTTGTCAGTCCTCACTTTACTCCTCTAAAGTCCTGTTGTTGTGGTTAGGTGTGGTCTCTACCTCTCTGTGACCCCTTGTGAAACAGAATGAAACCCTCCCTACCCCATGAGGTGCCACCCTCACAGTCTCCACTGTACTTTAGCCTGGAGTTAGTCACTGCATCCTGCAAGCAGTCTAAACACCATTTCCATTTCACAGAAGGAAAAAATCTGAGGCCTGAGAGTGACTAGCTCCTACACTGTTGACGCCAAACCAGAACTGACTTTGCTGTCCATCACAGCCTCCTGCCTCGGACCATCTGTCCTTCCAGTCCAAGTTTGTCCTGGTTACCTTCAACCTGGGGAGCCATCCTGACAGGTGCACATGCTCCGTTTCCAGCCCTCTATGTGCTGGGTGACCCAGACTGACTCAGCTGGAGCCCCAGCCCTGGCCTGGAGAAACAGGAACTGCCCCTGGGCTCCAGCGTTGGCTGGTAAAGGCAGCTGGCTGGGGTGACAGGCTGTCATACCCATACTTCCCCCAACAGAGGTATTTCCAAGATTTCCTCTTGAGGGAAGAAGCAGGGGAAGGGTGTTCCGAAGGCAGAAGCCCCTCGAGACAAATTCACCCTTGGATGTCTGTCCTTTCTTCACAGTCAGTTCTGAGAACTGGCTGAGTGTGTGACATCTCGTGGGTGACTGCTGGGTTCAAATATTGGTTTCTGTCTCACGGAAGAACTTGTCAGAGGTGACAACGATGTTTTAAACCACTGGATTGTAGTAATGTTACACAACTCCAGGAATCCATTTAAAATCACTGAACTGTATACTTTAAAACCTCCTGGCTCTGCCGTTTAAAGCTGAATGATCTTGGGTATGTGACTTATCCTGTCCTGGTGCTTCAATCTCCTCACCTGTCAAATAGGAATGATAATAATAGCTCCTGCTTCACAGGCTGGATGAGAGGATCAGATGAATCAACAGCACAAAGACTTGAGAAGAGTGCTTTGCACCCACTAGTGTTTATGACACAATGTCTTTATTCACGCAAGCAGAACAGTTCCAGCCTCACTGCAGTATACATGGTGGCCCAGTGGGGTAAGAAGCTGCCTGGAAATCCTGAAGGTACGCAGTTTGACTCCACCAGCTCTCTGTGGGAGCAGGATGGGCAATCTCCTCCCATGCAGTTAGCTTACCTCTGAAAACCCTCTGGAGGGTCAGCTATGGGTTTGTTCCCAATCTGTGACACACTAAAACAACAACAACAACCAGTTCCAAGGTGGAAAGTAAGAGAAAGAAGACCCTCAACAATATGGATTGACACAGTAACAGGGGGCTCGAACACATCAGAGAGGGTCAAGATGGCACAGGGTAGGGCAAGGTTCAGATCTGTTGATCACGGGGTCACTATGAGTTATAATTGACTCGACAGCACCTAACAACAATAACAACCACCAAACCCTGGCATTTTGCTGGTCTCTGGGAGTTTCGCTGCTAAGCCAAAGGCCTCTTCTGTTGTTTGAATCAACCAGCCACTCCTTGAAGAGAAAGAAGGGCACTCTCCTCCCAGGTGATTTACATGCAGCTTCGGGAACCTGGTTCAGGTGCAGACTTCCCGTGACCTGACTGACTGACCCGAGCCTTCCAGGTGCACATGGCAAGCCCACGTTTGCTCTCCTAGAAAAGCCTCTCTCAGTTTCAATGCACTTTCCACTCAGTTCATCCATTTTCTTGGTCCCTTATGCACTTAAACATCTTTTACAGCTAAGGCTCAGAAAGAATTATAGGCACCTGGTTAGTTCTGTTCACTACCCACTGGTCTGAGATCCTTGGAGAGCGAGGAGGCTACCTCGTTCACCCTTGTTCATCCTTGCTAGGGTGTCTTCTATCCTGACCATGGAGCCTGGGTGCTGAAGTGACTCCAGCAGGGAGGACAGGGGACAAAGAGTAAATGAGGAGCATGTGCTAATAGGGAGGCAGATTAACACAGTGATGGGACCTTCCATGGGAGCACAAGACCACTCTCCAGTGTCCAGAGCCCCAGGTCATACACAAGAATGGAATTCTTGTCCCCTGTCTCCCTGGTTCTCCAGGGATGACAGAGTCTCCGCCTCAAAGCCATGTGTTTTCAGATGTCTCTATTGATATCTCCGCTCCGACTCAAGAGCCAATGGCTTCCATTGCCCCAATTCTAGCTCCTCACATAGGTCCCAGGTTGGCCCAGCAAGAGCCTGAAACCTCCAGAAGTGACCTGGTGTAAAGAGTAGGCTGGTATTCTGTACAAGTAGCTGCTGCTATCCCCTAGTGCTCCCCCATACTGAACCAAACGTGCGGGCACAAGGCGAGCAATCCCCTGTACGGCTGCCGAAACCGCCCTGGGGAGACCCGAGGCCAAGAGCCTGGGACTGGGGAGAACAGAGAAAGCGCAATGGATGGGGGACGCCAAGCCTTTCCACCACCCGAGCTCTGACTCAGAGGGCTGACCGAGGGGCGAGAAACGCCGTAAATCTCGAGACACAAACACAAATATAAACTCCACTAAAGAGGGAAAACCAACACCCCGGAAGAGGCACCGGGGATCAGATCACCGGCAAAGTCGCCCCGCGTCGCTCAGGGCAGGGTCCCCGCCTCGCGCGCGCACTCGCGCGCCTCTCCCCGCTGCCCTGTCCCAGGGCGGGCGCGTCTCCTCCCTTCCCGGCAGCTCCGCTCGGCCGGCCCGCAGGTCCCGACGTGTCCCCTCGCCCGCTCCCAGCCGCGCGTTGGAGCCCCCGAGTGGGGCGGCCTTCCGGGCGCAGGGACTCCCGAGGAGCACCCCCCTCTTGCGGCGCACTTACCAAAATTTCGGCTCGCTTCCGGCGCCTCTTGGGTGAAAATCCAAGGCGGGTTGGTGGCGTAAAGCGAGGTGTTGGAGGAGTTGGCATGCTTCTTCCCGAAGAGTCTGCTGAAGGTGCCCGTCTGGCTTTTTTTCATGCTGCCGCAGGCCGCGCGCAGACCAAGGAAGGACCCTGCCCTCCTTGCCCTGCCTTGCTCGGGACTGAACTCCGCACGCTCTCCACAGGGTACTCTACCGAGTCATGTCCCCCGCGTCCTTCCTGCCCGCACACCGAGAGACAGGTGCTGCGGGCGCCGCTGCTCGCCTCGAAATGCGAGCTACCTGGACAGGTAAGAGGCTGCCTCTGAGCCCTGGCCCCGCCCCACGGCCGTCACCACAGCAGCCGCCCCATCGCCCAACTCCCCGGGCTGCATTCCTTCCTGCCTCCTTTTACAACAGGCCATTGTTGGCAGGGCCTGGTGGGCTGGGGACCTCGCCCAGCCCACGCCCTGCCTGCAAGACGTGCCACCCCCTTCCTCTAGGCCCCTCTTCCGGGCTCTTCTCCACCCTTCTTCTCTTCTGGGAGTGGAAGAAAGCAGGTAAGTTCCCTACTTCTAAGGGCAGTTCATAGCTAGGTCAACCTGTGGACTTTGGAAATAACACAAGTGTCCCACACTAGGGATATGGCAGGCTACAGCCAGCACGTGGAAGTTTCATGTTGCTGTTGTTAGGTGTCCTCTAATAGGTCCACCTGAATACAACAGCACAAAACACAGCGGGTGCCCATCCTCGCAATCTTGACCACGTTTTAAGTGCGTTGTTGTAGCCACTGCGTCAATCTATTGTTGAGGGTCTTTCTCTTTTTCACTGTTTACTAAACATGATGTCTTTCTCCACCACCAGTCCCTCCTGATAACAGTGTCCAAAGTACATGAGACAAAAATGACATCATCCTCATTTCTAAAGCGCATTCAGGCTGTACTTCTTCCGAAACCAATTTGTTTATTTTTCTGGCAGTCAAGAGTAATAGTACGTATTCTTTACCAAAACCAAAATTCTAAAGCTTTCCTTGGTCTTTCCTTCATGGTCCAGTTTTTGTGCATATAAGGTGACTGGGAGCTTGGTGACCTTGTGGTAAGAGGCTGCACTGCAATCTCAAAAGCACAGGGTTCAAATCCATCAGATGCTCTGTAGAAGAAGGATGGGCAGTCTCCTCCCGTGAGGTTAACTGCCTCTGAAGTCAGGTTAACTCTGCTATGGAGTCAGCTATGGGTCAGATTTGGCTCAGCAGCACACAAACACCACCTAAGGTGACTGAAAAGATCATGGATTGGGCTAGGAGTACCTTAATCCTCAAAATACTTTCTTTGATTTTTCCCCCCAAAACAAACAAGCCTAAAGAAACCAGGACTGCCACCCAAGCAGATATATGCACACCCATGTTTTTAACTGCATTGTTCACAATAGCAAAGGGTT